GTTCCAGTTTTAAAAAAAGGCTTAAACCAGCTTTCACTACCCATCTCCCTCTGCTTACTTCTAAACGTTGCTGAGGATTTTTTCATTTGATACAAATGAGATCTACATTCAGGCTAACTTTTAAGATAAAATTTCTAAACTTTCAGAACTTTCTTTTCCCACTTTAACTATTTACTTTAAAGATGACTGAAGAGAAGAAAAATATTGATCACAACTATGTCTTTGGCATCAAATTGATGTGTTCATATTATAGTCAGACTCTGAGGCATCCATCCCTCTTCTTGCTACATAACAACTGTCCATACATGAATATATCACATGCTGGCATGGCATTCCTACTTAATTTTTTTTTTCGAATTGTATACTTCTCACAGCTCTTTTACTGGATTGTTTTATATCCGCAGTTTAAAGAAATACGTGTTGTTTTGCTTTTTTGTTTGAAATTATTTTAAAGCACAGAAAAAGCTATTTGTGCAAATATAAAGAGTATTTCTTCATATTAACCTAGGATTTCAGTATGTGGTAATTGAAGAATTATACCTTCAAAAACTTATAATATTGAATAACTTGTATATTATCCTCATTAAAAAAAAACCCAACATATTCTGGTACTCAGTACTTCTGTAAAGTATGTCTCATAGTTGCCTTTTGCCTGAGTGCTGGTGTAATTATTCTCTAGGGGGGGAAATGCCTTGAGTAAATATATGAAAGGAATGGAATAGACATTATGCAATTTACGTCCTTTTTGTGAGGCCTCATTTTTGTGAAATGTTCTTGTTTTGGTCTTCTGGCTGGATAAATACAAGCTGAGGGAATTCTGATGTCATGGAAGCTCTTTAACACTTTCTTTTGCCTCGACACTTGCAAGCAAAGCTTTCTCTTTTGACCCTGTTCAGTTGCAGGAGTTGATTTTTCAAATGTCTACTTTTTCCTCACTGTTGGAAGATTACCTTTATTGAAACAGAACTCTTCAATGACTCAAACCTTTGAAGGTGGTACAGTGACACTTCCAAGGATGGGTCTGACGTAACAATTCAGATCCAATCTCAATTTTAAACAACTTTTCCCACCTACTACTCTTGCCAGGTCCACACCTAAATCCAGAGTGATTATTCTGGAAATTTGAGTCTGCTGCCTTGCAGAGAGTTCTAGATTTTCATCTAATTTAAATTTGGTTTAAAACAGGGATGAAACACCATTTAAATATTTAGAAGTAGAGTAGCATAAAACACACGTGAATGAAAAGCTGGCCGCAAGCAAAATCCAGGCAGGTAGTCCAGATCCCATTTGGATCCAGAAAGTCTTAATTTCTGGCATTTCTGAGTGCTCTGATCTGTTGGGTTTGGGTCAGGTTAGCCTCTGTCACTGCAAATCAGAAAACTGTTGCCTATATTGGCGTGAATACCTCCTAATCTTCTGTTATTAAATAGGGGAGAGTCCCCTTTTGACCAGCAGAGCTGAGTTTTGCTGTTCTCTGTGCTGTGGGTCTCTGCGCGTACACAAGCAATACTTGATTCTTATTGGAGAGCTAAGGAGAAGGGCAGAAGAAAAATTCCACCCTCCGCGCCCTCCTCCTCCTCTCTCCCTCTCCCCAAGCTCCTCTTTTGTGGTCCCCAACGCCAGCGCAAAGCGTTCTGTTCCTGAGAAGGAAGTGGGGTACCTCAACTTCCCTAAAGGACCATTAGAAAACTGTAATTTCAAAATGAGTTTCCTGTCCAAGGAAGAGGGCTTAGCACTTACAAGAACAGTTCTCCACTGTACAAGGCAGACATTTTAGTTTTATGAGGAACAAATAAAACATTCCTCTGTGCTTTACAGGCATAACACTTTCTTAGACTCTTTAGTTACAAAATGACCTGTCTGCATAGTTATGCTGATGGGTTGCAGAGAACAACACGGCCCAACTGTTTAGCAGTGCCTGATGCCGTAAAGAAGCGGAGGTGGGGGAAGCAGGGGCAAACCAGAAAGTGTTCCGCTGTTTGCGGCAAATCCTTCCCATGCTTTTCAGGCGGTAATAAAGTCTGAGATACAAACAAAACAATTCCTGAGGTGGAGATGCCGGCATTCTTCCAGTGAGACAGAATCTTACTGAGGTCAGTGGGGGTGCACGGGGTGGCACCGAGAGCGCAGCTTGTCCGCTGGAAGGTGACACAGGTCTGCTGTCACAGCGGGCGGCTGTATGCAGTGCCGAATGCAAGCTAAACCTCACATGCCTGAGCTGGGGCTTTGGAGAAGTATGTGAAAAGGATTATGCCAGCTTAATTCAGTTCTTTGGAGGTGTGGAAAGCACAGTCATGTTGACCCTACCCTGCTAATCCTGCTTTAAACATAAATTACAGCAATTGTTGTCGGCATGAAATGTCGAGTTACTTTGGGGGGCTTAGACCTAATATTCTGTCTCCCCCTATAATAAAGTTAACTGTCCACTTTGAAGAGCACAAATATAGTGAAAGCCTACCAAAATCCTTGATGAAGCTTAAATGTAGAACATCCAGAAGCAGCTGTAAGATTTCTAGTAGATGTCAGAACTAGCTTATGGGCCTTGTGATGACAAATAATTGGAGAATGTTAAATTCAGCCTAATGAAAAGCCATAGTCTGTGCTGTATAGTATTACTTAAGATTTACTATGTGTTATGGTAAAGGCATGTGGTTGTGTGAGCTTTGATTTTAGTCTTTTTCATTTCCAGATTAATGTCTTAATTCAGTTCTAAAGCAAGCTTACAGGAGAGCTTTCATGGTGTAGTCAGTTGTTAAATGTGAAATCAATCTTATGCCCTATTCTGATGTTAAGTTTTAATGTATTAGTATGTAATGGATGCAAAAAAGGCATTTTCTTGTTCTCTCTTTTTCTCCAAATGTTACCAGTTTTGCAGAAGGAAATACATCAAAAACAATAATGAAACACAGTCTGTACAGAGGGAGATGAAAGGCTATCTATAGTGGAGACAGCAACACCACATAATTGCAAAGTCAGATAAACATGTCATTTTTTTTTAATTGTTCCCCAGACTTTCTTGTAATTAATTGCATTCTTTGCCTAAGGCTTGTTGAGTTGAAGACAGATGAGTTAGCAGGTAATGCTGTAGCCTTTCACTGCATAGATCCTTGCAAGGGAGAAGGTTAATCTTTCTTAATTCCAATAAAAGGCATCCTATTCACAGCTATTAAATGTATTTTGTCAGGGCTGGAAATTTCTTCCAGAATTATCTCTTCCAGGAGATAATTTAGTAGGAGCAGATAAACATGATTCAGCAATTGCTTTTTCTGGACAGAAACTTCTTGTCAAAGAGAGAAAAAAATCATTAAGTCAGTATAGCAGCAGAGTTTGTATTTTTAGTGTCCTGACTTGGGTGTGTGTTTACCTGCTTCCATAATGTTAAAAATGAGAAACTGAGAATAGCATCTTTTTCAGTAATAAAAAAGTAGAAGTGATGTGAGCCAGAACTCACATTTATGATAGGTTTGAGAAAAAAAAAAGATAGCATTTGTACATCTAGTACTCTTGTCACCTGATAGGAGAGGGATCCTAGGAGATGAACGTAGAGCAGCCTGGAGAAGAACACTGAAAAGTCAAGAATCTAGGGGAACAGCTTTAAAAGGACAAAAAAAGTAAATATAGTTTAGACTGCAGGTCTTCAAGTGTGCGTTCGCCCTTCAGTGGTTAGACATATGAAAAGAAAATGATAATTTTAGGCTTAGATGTTTGTTGAGGTTGTTCTGCAGCAGTTAGGAATAACATGATATAATTCAGATATCTTTTTGCATGGATGCAAAATAACACAGTGATTTTTCTTAATGATCTCAATGTAATTAAAAGGGGCTTACTTTTTCCCCAGCGGAAATTCTGGAATTGGCTGGAAATGCAGCAAGGGACAACAAGAAGGGTCGAGTCACTCCTAGACACATCCTGTTGGCTGTAGCAAATGATGAAGAATTAAATCAGGTAAGAAAAAAACTCCGCTGTGTGAGGGCCAGGATTTCCTGTAGGGCTTTTTAAATTGTCTTTCCATATAGCTGAATTGTAACTCAAGACCTCTGCTTATTGAGTAGCCCACCAGGAAACAGCTTATTCACTCACTAGCACGCTGTCTGTGTTACTAACTACAGCACTCGGCTTAATTATGTATTTCAGGACTCTTAAAATGGCGAAAAATGCAATGGGGGTGTAATATGACATTTGCTCACAGTATTACAACCAATTCTGTTAAGAGTGGGACATTGTGATAAACTCTACAGAGACATGGAGCAAATCTTACAGATACTCTTTTTTTGTTTGTTTTTGTTTCCCCCCCTTAAGCAGCTTAGGACTCAGGGGGACCTATCCTGTTCCCATTGAAGTCTGTCGTTGTGACCACAGAATTAAGAGCACTGGAACTCTTGCAAGTCTGTGTCCTTTGCAGATTTCAAGATGCCTTTAACTTAGCCAAAAATAATTTGGGCATTATTATTACAGTGTTGTGGTGTCAGCCAGAGGCACGGGCTAGGATTAATGTACGTTTGTGTGGGGTGCTGTAAAAACATGTCTGAAAAGATACTTTTTTCTGAAAACACGTCTGAAAAGATAATTTTTCCAAACCTGTGTATCATGATGGAGCAGGAAAGAAAAAAAAAAAATTCCCAAGCCAACCTTATTCTGGCTTTGTCTGAAATTTGATAATGCTTTCCATTCATCGTCCCTTTGTAAGCTTGGAGCCTCACTGAGTTGTGGCTGGGGAGCAGTAAACACAAATCAGAAGGTGGGAGTACCTGAGGGACTCTGTCACTGTTTGTATCCTCCTGAATAGTGGATTAGTCCCAGTTAGATGTATAAAAAGTGGGTTAAAGTGCTTTTAAATACAGAACATGATATATTTCACCTCTGCTTTTAAAGGCTTGAATGAACTGCACACTTATGAGTATTGATCTGCTTTTCTTCAACTACATAAAGATTTTTTTGAAGAAAGACTTCCAGGTATAGAGATTTGTATAAATGTTACCCTCCATTTGAAGTTTCTTTTTTCTAAACAAAAAAATTAATTATTTTAAAAATACACTTTCAAGAAAATTCAGCAGTTGGGACATATATTGGGTTCTCCACAGCATGGTACCCGTTGCAGCCCCATACCATGGACTTTGGGGTCCCATCCCTCTCCTACGGGCTGCCCTGCGAAGCCCTCAGGTCTGGGGCTGTTGTTTTCTAGTAGCTGGGTAACAGTCTTCGTCGCATGGCTTCACAGAAACAGATCTTGTGTGAGCCTAAGAGGTATTGACAGTAACAAGCGTATGTGCAAGAAGAATACATACTCCCATTATAGTTAAAATTTAGTACATGATCAACTCCATTTCATACGTTTCATGTCTCCCTTCAAGGATAATATGTGTTGAGAAATGTACAAGAACCAGTTGAAACTCAAGGCAGTGTACAAAGTTTGCAGTAAATGCCATTTTGTCTTTATTGCTGAGTAAATGCTGGAATCTGTCATCTACAACTTTTTTTTTATTATTATTAGCTATTGAAAGGGGTCACCATAGCCAGTGGTGGAGTGTTACCCAATATTCACCCAGAGCTGTTGGCAAAGAAGCGGGGATCAAAAGGAAAACTGGAAGCCATCATCACTCCACCTCCAGCAAAGAAGGCAAAGTCTCCGTCACAGAAAAAAACGGTATCAAAGAAAACAGGCGGCAAGAAAGGGGCAAGGAAATCCAAGGTAGAGTAATCTGTTTATTTTAAACCCAAGCAAGCTTGTTAGTAGTAGCTGTCGGGAACATCGCATAGGGTAGACGGCGTTCCGTGTGTGGTTAACAAAGGTGATTTCAGTAGCAGCGTAAGCAAACGCTGCGGGAGCGCTGCCCTCTCCCTAGTGCGGCTGGAAGTCTGAAAACCCTCAGAAGAGGCGCGGGCCTGCAGGACAGGCGGGCAGGCTGCAAATACTCTGTTCTTTGAACAAAGCAGTCGTTAGGCACTCACAGGCTGGAGAGGGTGTCGGGGGGCTGTACCGGTTACGCCTCACTGGTGAGCAGGCGAGATCAGCTGTAGGGGTAGCTCTGCTGTGACTGCGCAGGTGCCTGGTGGGGCTAGGCAGAGTGAACGCACTTGGACTTCATTCAGGTACTGGTATGTCTGCAAGAAACAGGGAATCTGGGTGTTTTCTTCAAAAGTGAAGTCGCACTAAAGCAGCCTTTTGCAGTTGTAAATGGTGAAGAAAAGCAACAGCCAGAGTCACTTGTGTTGTAATACTGTCCTCAGCCATTAGCGTGTCAGATAGCCCTGGTTTCAGGTGATGTATTTTTCTGTTGTTTGCTGGGGTTTTTTAATGTTTGGTTTTTTTTATTTTTCGTACCAGCTTAATATAAGATTCCTCTTAGTTAGTTGATTTGATGAAATCCAAGGAGTGTGAAATACTCCTTCTGAAGTAGAAGCAGGTAGCTGAGTCTCTTGCAGCATCAGAGACTGTATTGTGGCTGCACAGAATTTCTTTGGCTGAGCTAAAGACCCACAAGTGTCCCCTCTGCTATTAGTATGCTATGGGTGAGACTCTTCCATGTGTAGACTTGGTGTTTTTAATTCCTAGTAATAAATTAAACTCCTTCAAAATGAAGTGTGGCAGTAGGGGGAAGAACAAGAGGATCAAAATATGATTTTCTTATACTAGGAAGCTAAGAATAACATTTTTTTTTTTTTTTTTTTTTTATGCCAAGAACAACATTCCTTTTTTAGTTTCAGTTTGGTGGAGAGGGAATCTTTCTGATGTGTGCATGTGTAACCAACGATTTATTTTGCAAAACAACTACTCTCAAGCAATAGGCTGTGAAAGTAGGAAGAAAAGTACATGAATTTCACATGAAATGGACAATACATGTGAAAAATTGCCTTCTCTGTCAAACAAAGCCTCTGTATTCATCCTCTGTGTGTTTGTTGCTGTTTACTTGGTCACTCTTTTGATTGTTTCGCTTTTTTTGTTTTTTGAACTGCTGAATTTAGTTTTGTCTCTTAGAACACCTAGTAGCTGACTTTTCAAGTGCAGTACTACTAATAACCATGCACTAATAATTTCCCTAAATCTGGAATTTTTTTCCCCCTACTTGATTACAAAAGCAGGAAGTCTGTTGTGGGGTTCTGTTTTTCTTCCACACAATAAACTGTATTGTCTGCCTACTATATTAGTATTTGGCTAACAGTAAACTCCTGGGGAATTGAAATGGGACCCATGAAATTCTAATTTTCAAAACATTTGTGTAAAGTAAAGCATGGTTACAGCTTCTAGAAGCAGTGATATACCCTTGCATCAAAGTGATTGGAGTTGCTCAGCCACAGGTTTAGTTTATGTGCGTTGGAAAGAGACAATAGGAGAACAGTGGCTTGCTTAATATTCCAGGTGTGCTTTTTAGCCTCAGCATGGGTGTTGCTGAGGCACCAAATACTTGTATGAAATCATAAGTAGTAATTTTGCTGAAAATATGAAATTATTTTTGGCACCACTGGAGTTTATAACCACACCAGTCAATTTGATATCTTCATGAAGCATCCTTTTCAAAATGTTTCTCAGTATCTTTTTTTATTCAGTAAATCAATTCATTCGTGAAACCTATCATTTAATTCAGTAATACAGCTGAAAAAAAGGAACGGTGGTTGAGGGGGAGCTGCCTCTCCCCCTACGGTTTTACTGGAGGTGAAGGTGATCACGTTAAACAAGACAGGGAAAATTGTTCAGCCCCCTTCCTACTGCTAGGTGGGTGGAAAGTAGATGTATTCTTCTGACACTGGCTCTGAGGACGGACAGATTTCGAAGCGTAAACAACTTTGTGAAATCTGTGAGCACCTCACTTCAGAGAGATATAATTTGCACTCTGATAAGTCAGGTTTTAGCTTAGAATGAATGTCTGCCCACACATATAACTAGATGCATTTGTCTTTTTCCACACAAGCCATTAGAGAGCTGTTAAAAGTTTGAGACTGTTTGTATGTTTTCCTGCAACATTGAAGACAGCTGTCGTCTGAGTTGTGCACTGTCGTAAGCAAGAAAAGGCTGGTGTAGGTACGCAGACGTTGAGGTCTCTTTTCCTACTGATTCCTGCAGCTTAATCAGTCACTTCAGTTAGACTGAAGGATAAAATCCAAGCGCCAGTGTTTGTACTGGCGTTTTATTACCTGGGAAGCATTTATGGCGTGTCGTATATTTTGATGTAATTAAACTGTTTTTCTCTTAGCCTGGAGTTAACTAATTAACTGTATTTTTGGAAGAAGAAGCAGGGAGAAGTGAGCAAATCAGCCAGTGCTGACAGTACAACAGAGGGGACTCCTGCAGATGGTTTCACAGTCCTGTCCACCAAAAGTCTGTTTCTCGGCCAGAAGGTATGCTCCTGCATTTTTATAAATTAATACCTATTTTTCAGTGCTGCTTAGGGAGTATCCCCTCCCACCACCCGCCTTTCCCCAAAACGTCTAGGTACAATGGACATTTCCCCACTGAGCACTTGAGGAGACGTATGATACTAGTTTTTGAACAAAGAAATAATCTAAAACAACTTTTAGAACATTTTAAAAATACATAAATGAGTCTTCATATGGCTATGTAATTAAATACATAAAGGAAAGCCTGGGTGCTTGTAATCTGTCTCGCCTTATTCATAAACAGCATAATTGTTACAGCTAAGCGTCTGCCAAAGAGGAGATGATTCTAAGAATAAAATGTCTTTTTCCAATGGGCAGCCCACTTCGTTGCTGATGTAAATGATTTACAGGTTTTTATCAAAACCTATTTTAGACATTTGTTCATATTAGTGGTTTTATGTTTTGTTCTGCTTTGTTCTTCACAAAAGTTAATGCTGTGTAATAATGAACGATGCTTTTATGAAAAGCTAGAAGTCAACGATCCTCTTTTCCCTGTGAATATACTTTGGGACATGGGGTGGTTTAGTAGAAATACATATCTGCTTAAAGAAAGGATCCATTTAAAGAGGAATTCATTAAATTAATTTGGTCTTTTGTCTTGAAACCTGCCTTTAGTTCATGATACAAAATTTTGTTAAGTAAAACTGCATCTTTCTTCTATCATTCAGTAATCACATCGTTGTGTTGTAAGTCATAAAAGATGAGCCATTGTCCATTGTGGAATGTATCTCCTCTGACTCATTTTTATTTCATTCTGAGGTGGTTCTCCATTTATCCTTCCACAGTGTGTTTGCTAAGTTTAACATGTGTAAGAGTAATGTTATTTTTCGCAAGACTTCTGATTTTCCACTTTGCAGCTGGAGCTAGATTGCTGGGTTAGTAGGACTTTTTGTTATTTGACTACTACTAGGGGGGTGGTTTTGAACATATTTTTAAAACCATGTTGATGACTAAATTAGAAGCCAAAATTTGTAAACTACATTACTGTTTCAAGAAAGCAAGTAATGTCAGACTTTTGGACCGAATTTTGAACTCCTTTCAGTTACCATAGGAACCCTGTAATAAGACCTAGTGGTGTGTTCCAGCAAGGCTGACCCAGCAAATCGGCGGGGCTCTGCTGTTGGGCTCGGTGGAGGAGAATCACGAGCTCCAGGGCTGCCTTAAGCTGCAGTGAGCAAAGCCAGTGTCTGTTGTAAAGCTTTCCAGTAAGTACCTTGTACTGGGAAATGGACTTTCTGGCTTTCTCATTCACTTGGAGTGCAGCCCCCTGAAAAATTGCTGGTATGTTATGTCCATCCCCATGCTGGGTCGCTGTCAGTTAGCCCTGCACATAAAAGGGGCCAGGTGTTAGCCTTTATTTGTAACACGGTGCACACCATGAAAAGAAAAATGGAAAGAAAAATGAAAGCCCGTTTGTCTCCTGTGAGGGAACGCTCCAAATGCAATGCATTATTTCTGGAGAGGTAGAGAACTCATAGGAGCTGTTGAGGTGTGTTCAGCACAGACTATATTTTGCTTTTGGTTCCCTGTAGGAAACTATCTTCAGAGGCAGTAAATGGTTAGTGTAAAAATGTAAGAAAAGTAGGCTGTGTCTAACAAATACAAGAATTTTCTGTATCCTATTATGTGATTTAAAAATGAAATTGTTACCTTGAGCGATAAATAATGTATTAATGTCTTTGTTCTGATTTCACCCCCAAAATAGCACATTTAGACCAACTTAAATTCTTTTCAGACTGAAAATGTGGAAAGCTTAAAATGCAAAAACCTTTGCACTGTAGTGATCAAAGAGATTTTATTTAGCATAAAAACAACACACAAAATTATGCTTCCTTATTCCTAGAAATATTTTCAGACTGTTCCCCAGAAATTATTTTCAAAACGCGCATTTTCAAAGTTATCAAAAGAATTTTGCTTTGCTTGTGATTAAAAATGGCAAAGATAAAAACTTTCAGTGGTGGAATCGGTGGGAGTTGAATGCGTCCTCTCTCCGAAGCCGGGGGTGTGTTTTGCATGAGCCAGGAGGCTCCTGGGTGTGACAGGACGTCTGCTGCTGCCTGCAGGTTTAGCAGACTGCGATCTCGGTGGTGGTGGTGGCTGTTGATTATTTAAGTGACACAGGGAAGTCTCAAATAATTGCTATTTATTTTGGAAATTTAAAAATTAAATACAACCATTATCTATAAAAACTCCAGTGACTTTGAGTCAGTTAAATGCTTCTGCTTAGCCATTTCTACATGCAATTGCTGTTTAAAAAGATAATATTGATTTTAAAAATATTTATCTAACGTGGAGACTGGTGCTTAACAGAAAAAAACATGGTTTGTTATAGTTGTCTTAAATTAGTGCCACATGGTATGCATAAACCTAATGAAGTAAGAATTTTCTTCAGTACGATTCTGGATGGTAGGGTTGCAGTTCGGTTCATTAGAGGTGTGCACGTTGCTTTTTTCCAAAGCGTGTGAGGGCAGACGGTGTTTGCCTCTGTCTGGAGGACCTTGCTCCTGTCCAGCATCGCCTCATTTTGCTAAACAGCATTTCAGGGGAAGGAAACATCTGCTGCTCTCCTGGGTGGGGAGGACAGCGTGTTTAGGTGGTTCGGCTGGAGGCCTGGAACCCCGGCTCCTGGCTGCTGCTGGTGGCGGATTCGGAGAGGCTGTAAATCACCTGGCTGTTCGCTGTCACCTTCCCCATTTGTGTAAGGGAGATACAGTTACACTCTTCACACGGGTGGTAGGAAAGCTTAATGTGTTAAAATATGTTTGAGCTTTTCCATCCGAAAAGGAAAAATATTGATATTAATCAGTTATCTGATTTTTCTTGAGTTTGTACATGCAGATTTTCAATATACTTTCGCACTCTGTGTGTTCTTAATAAACTACAGTACACACAGAGAAACCTGAAACCAAAAACCCTGAACAAACAAAAGGTATCTTTCGAACCTCCTGTGACATCCTTGAATACCTTCACAGCGTGTCTCTCTGGTCTGCAAAACCACTCTCTGCTAGATCAAGAAATAACTGACTAGATGCAGAGAAGGGAGAAAATAATCCTGTTCCTTAGGATCGCATCGTTCACAAGTGTTTAATGGGAAAGATCTTGTTCTTGGCTCCATGTTTGCAGAAGGGAAAGGGAAGGATTTTATTTGCAAGAAGAGCTCTTCATTATTCTAATATCCCCAGATTTAATTACTGAAAATGCAAATGAATGTTGCAAACCTGGGTATTGTTCAGTTTTTAAAATCTGCTGTTATTGCGTTAAATCTTTAGATAACTGCTGACATTCAGCTAGAAATTCTTAGAGGTCAGGAGATGGCAAAGAACCCTTCAGTTATGCCTGTAGAAGTGTATTAGTGCTACACTAATCAAGTATTAAAATCTAGTTAATACGTAAATAATTGCACATCCTACAAGTGGCTTCCCGATGGAAACGTGGTATTCTGCACATTAAGTAGTTTGTTTTTCCTGAGGCAATTACAGAGTAGAGGCAGAGCTGTAAGACCTCGAGCCTAAGCGTTAGGGTTTGGACTTGCAGAGAGACCTCGGCTTGTTGTCTGCAACAGGCATCTTCCGTTTTCTGTATGAAACTCATACCAGAAAAAGTTCCAAGACTTGAAAGGTAATTCTGTCTGAAGTAAGAAATGCAAGGCTTGGCTCAGAAAATACTCATGGATGTGCTAAGTGCCATCTGCATTTTATCTAACTAACATTTAATTTAAATGTTACCTAAAGTTGTGTCCATTCTTTGTTGCACATGTATATGCAAGTTGTGCCTGTTTATTTTTTTCAAAGTGGCCCTTTAGGGGATCACTTCTTCTGTCTAATACATGCTTCATGCTATTGGGTAGTAAAATTGAGCAGTTACTCAATGGAGGATTTAATTCTGCGGGAAAAATTCTGATTTTTTGGTTTTAGCTTGTTTTTGGCAATCGGATAGCTAACAGTGCATTGAACAGTAAACACAAAATACAGCAAAATAATACTTAGCTGCCAACACGTGCTATCAGTGACAGGCAGCTTTTTAAGCATTTTGTTGTTGCTGTTAAATTGAAACTTTAATTACCAGCTGGTTGCTATGTAAATCACAGTATGAGCAGGCACAGAGATAGATCAGAGGTCTGAAATCAAAATGGTCTGCAGCCAACAGATTGGGGCAAAAACTTGCAGAACACAGAGTTGGGGATCAAAGGGAGTCACCTATAAAATGAACAAAATACTCGTAGGAACATACTGAAATCTCCACAAAACAGTCTTTTGGTGTGTGCATGTGTTTTGTTGTTGTTTTTTATTTCAAAATTCATAAAGTTTCCTTAACATTTTGGTTTGATTTGACTTTTTTTTTAAACACCAGTTGCTTGTAGTCAAACTCAAGACTCAAACTGCAGTATGAATACCTCGCCACGTGTGAAGTGTTAAAGGGTTCCAAGCTATTTGGGTAGCAAGCTTGCTTAGATTTTATTACAAATTCCCGAACAGACCCGTACTTAAAACAGGGCTGAATTAGACTCATTTTTGGCCAAAATCACCCTATTTTGAGGCAACATAGTTTACATATGCAAATTATATCTTTTAAAAAGAGAAAGAAGGTCAATTCATATAATCACATGAATGAAATGGAAATAATTTTTTCATGAACCTGAAACACACGGATGTTGGCCTCCTGAAGTGACCCATTCACTTGTGTTGGTTACATGAATTGGCTCGTTTTCCCCATTAATAAGCTCGCGTACACAAGGAGAAGATTTGAAGAGTTACATTTATAGACTGTGGATTACAAACCAAGAGGCAAACCTCGGTTATTGATGACATTAATTGCTGAACCCAGCGAGCTGTGGATTGGGAGGAAAGCCTGGCTTGACTGCAGCTGGCTTCAGGACTTGCATCAGTGAAGGGGAGCTGCCTCTCTCGTAGCTGCTTTCCGCATTGCCGGATCAGCTGCCGAAATGATCATTTTAAATACATGTTGCAGATAGAAGCAGAGTTTATGATGTAGATAATGTATTGCCCCATATGAAAGAGTCTGGAAATTTTTTTGCACTTTAAAGTGTTTGAAGTTTTGGCGGTAGTAAACTTGGTGCACGTGAGATCAGACTTGGCAGTGCTGGCGGCGACGCAGTGTTACGAACCCCTGGGCAGAAGCCTCCTCACGTGCCCGTCAGCGTACCACAGTTTCGACTTTTGCCAAGTGTGGCATTTGCATCAAATTCTCTCAAGTTACGGAGTTGTTTCCATGGTGTGGGTCACATACAGTGACGAGACACCCAAACTGGCAGTAGTAAGCAAGTTGTGCTACTGCTTTACACCTCCAAGCATTCCAAACAACATCCTCGCTAGCGTGGCGTGGCAGGGTCAGGTCGGTACCATTTGTGGTCTTTTCCTTGCCTTATTTTACCATTAGTTTGTAAGCCTTGCTCAAAATCTGCTGCAAGAAGTTAAAATCTGCACTTCCCCGTATTTCATGAATTCTTTTTGTTCTTTTAAGAGCACGTAGTGCAAATGTGAGGTTAATCTCAAGATATCTGTACGAATGTCCTCGCCTTACTGTACACCCACGAGAAATCCTTCTGGTTTTGTAATGATCCAGAGAGCAAATGAGAAGCATGCTTTAAATACATGGGTGTTAATGAGAGGAGTTAATGGGCGTTAGTGGGTGGGGTTAAAATCTCTATTTTCATAAATGACAAACGGAAGTGAAACAAATGAGCTAAAAACTAACAGCAGTAAGCACATAGTAGTGCCTGCTTACAGTACGTCACGGGCTGTTCAGAAGCAGCTGAACTGTGCCATGAAAGCTGAAGTGCCCGCAGTACAGAATACGGTGACCACTAATAGGGAAAAAAATAAAGATGGATGTCCCCTTGTTAGGATGGGGGAACCACTGGAGGCAAGGATGTGCTTTCTCCAAGATAAGCTCAGGTTTGCCGGCTGAAGGAGGAGTAGCAGCAGCTTTTATCCAGTTTCAGTGCTGAATGGTCATGGCACACTCCTGCAGTTGATGCTTAAGAAATGGTTAGGGTGTCCTTTGCCTGTACTTCGAGGAGAAAACGGTACCCTCTTATAATGCCGAAATAAGAATCCCAAACAGTGGTCAGCATCAAGCCAAAATAGAGCTGGTTAGCAGGTACATTCATGCCCTCCCAGCGTGCACAGTGTTTGAGTCTTGTGTTTGAATTTTATTTGGATAATAACCCTCCCTTATGACCTGCCTTTTATTTTGCATATTTGTTTGCAGTGATGCTATCTCCATCTGTGTTGCAAAGCTCACTTTTCTGCAGCTTCTCTGTGATTTCCCAGCTGTCCTGTTATTTCCCACCTCATGCTTTTCTTTTCAGCTGAACCTTATTCACAGTGAAATCAGTAATTTAGCCGGCTTCGAGGTGGAGGCCATTATCAATCCCACCAATGCTGACATTGACCTTAAAGATGACCTAGGTAAATGGGGCATGGGTTGACACAACTAATGGTCACATGGTAATTATGGAACCCAGAATTTACTCGCTAGGGCTTCGTACATGTAACAAGAGCAGAAATTCAAATCTTCCAGGTTCTGGTTTGTTGGAGAACTCTATTCAAAAGACATTTTCGCCAAATCTGAATACTTGCAGCTATTGCTAGTCTTCAAGTTGATTTCAGTTAAAACAAGTCGTTTAAATTCTTTTCCATAATGATCATATGTGACTGTTAGCTATTTTGGGGGGTTTCTTATTTGGATACTTTGAGGACTAAAATACTTTTTTGTCAGGTTGTTTTCAAAATAAGCAGTTTCTCCATTCTAACTGCAATCTCGGGGTTTTTTATGATACTCAGAGTAGGCATACATTTTTAAAGAGGAATGATTAAATAAATCTTTCCTACCTTGATTTCATGTTTAATTCAGTCAGATAATTTGTTTCCATGATGCTTCAGTTACTCCCTGTCACTTGCACATTCAGCTGAAAACAAATACTGACGTTATACCAGCACTGAACTGGTAGATGCTCTCATAGTTGGTGTATCACGGTTAGAGCTTCTGTCTTGTTCAGACTGGGGAAAAAAGAAAAACCCTTCTTCAACAAAAGTCTGTGTTTCAGCAAAAGTAAAAGAAAAATTAACTTTAATGCGTTATGTACTGCCTTCCCTTCTTACTTGATTATACCTGCTGCTGTTTGTTGGGGTTTTTCTATAAACTTCCTTAATGGAGTACAGCCCATAATCCTCCTCCTGCTGCATTTTCTGTGGGAATGTACGTATGTAATTTAATAAGGAAAAGATTTAAGAAGGCCGATTTCTAAATCAGCCTTTCTCAGAAATAGGTGTATTTTTACACGTGTCTCAGCCATCCCAACACATAATTAGCAAACAGGCCTTACCTTTAAAATACAAGATCGATCACTTGTATTTTTTAAAGCAAATTCAGTACAACCCTGTCTGCGGATACGTGGTCTCCTCCGTATGAAGGAGACTGTCATTTTTAGAAACAAAATGATGGATCGCTGTGCATATGAAGATTCGTGCCTGTCAGCTTATTGATGCTGACAAAATGGAGAAACTAGTTATTTTGTTTGGCTTGATGATCCTGAATTTCTTTTTTTTAAACAGATTCCATATTTTAGTGTCATGCTCTGTGGGGAACTGGTTGTTCTAGGTTTCTGCAAAGTGAAATGGGGTATTAGCTGCTTTTAAAACTTTGGAAATGATCTCATGTGATTGCTCTGACTTGTCATTTTACACACACCTGCACACACAACTCAGCATACTCCTTTGGCGCAAGGTTTGGAGATGTAAAGGTAGGAAAATATGGACGTTGGTACATGTGTAAATGTAGAGCCTGTGCTGGGTCTCTGTCCAACGTGGTTGATATACATCTGTTTACCTGTTGTAGTTGCAAGTTGTACAGGCTGACATTGCCACGATCGACAGTGATGCTGTCGTTCACCCGACAAACTCTGACTTCTACACCGGTGGTGAAGTAGGTAATGGAAAGTTCAGTGCTGCGGAGTTTGTATGTGTGTGCATGGTCAATCAGCAGCCACAAGCTTGTTGTAGCTATGCAGATTTGCATTCATTTCTCACTTCCAGCAGTCCTGACTGATAATGAAAAGAAATGAATAATTGCCAACTCAGTAGGCGCTTTTGATTTTTATCACCAAACGAAACTTTCAGAAGTAACAGTAGAATGCACCACCAAAATTTGAAGTGCAGGAACAGTACGTTCAATGCAGGCACGTGACCCAGGAAAATGAATGACCGCATTGTTTGTTTGACGTGTTAAACGCCTGTTTTGAACGTGGTTTGAGTCCTGATCTTTAGATTCCTTACCAGTTCCAGTACACCCTCTCCATGCCAAGTTTCAGATGTTCACCTCTGACATGCTGGATCTAGCCCATTGGTATTTTCAGAACTCCTAAGATGGGTTAGTTGCTTGATATTTTGCCTTATGGACCGATTACCTTCATAGCCCTCCGCAGCGGTCCTCAGGCCCACGAGCACACGGCTGCCGAGGCTGCCCATGTTTTTCAGGCAGTCGGTCATCTAAGCTACACCGATGAGAGAAGGCGTGATGGAAAACATGACAGACATCTTAATTCAGTCTCTGAAGTGTCCCCTGAGTAACTCTTACCTTAGTAATACCCCTCTCTGCATACAGTGCTTTGAAGGATTTTGTAAAAGAGTAGCAGTACTTGAACTGAACTGCCTTGGTAATTTGAGAAGGCAAATCGGAATTTGGGCTGAATACAGAAGTTGCTGGTAAGGGCGATGACCTGCCAAGCTTAAAAAAAAAAAGTCGTCTGATCCCAGCCTCTGTTCTACATCTCCTCTTAATTAACCTCATCATCGCTATGCGAATGGTCTCCCCCACACCTCGGGCCCTACTACAGCACCTGCCCTTTCTGAAGGGGCCGCTTTCCGAGTAACACGCAAGCGAATGTAGCTCGGTGTAGCCTGCTGGGCAGGACAGCTGAGACCTGGCTGGGCAGACATTACACAGGGACGTTAGAAGGGTGGCAATACCCTGTGTCTGAAGAATCTGCTCCTCAGGTCTGTCAGACTCGTTTAGCTCACCCGCCTGACTCCTGCCCTTTGACAAAGCAGGGCTTTGCTACCCTACAAAGAACATTGTGTCTCGAAGCGGCACTGCTCGTTCCTTAGTGTAGGTTCCTCTTGCCTCTGACTGCTGTAAGGAAGAATAGAAGTGCACAAATGCTTAGCTTCCAATGATTAACTTTTACCCATCTAAATTTTTTTTAATTTTGTTTTTGTTGTTTTTTTTCCCTAACAATTTAAATGTACTGGGGGCTTAGCCTGAGAATTTTAGAGCCTAAATTTCTGCTAATGCTGTTTTCAACACTGATACCAATGCCTGCTTGGAAAGCATGAGATAATGATCTTATTCTCATGGGAGTGACACATATTAATGCCTGTGAGCAAATACGCTGCTAACCTTGAAGCTGTGAAGCAAGACTTCCATCAAGAAACCTGCTAATGTAGTGTAAAATGGTTAAATTGAGTATATGCTTTCCCAGATGAAGCCAATTTACAACATAGTACTGAAACATAATTTCAGTATAAACCCTGACTACTAGTCAGAAGAACACCGTAATTAAGGAGTAAATGCGGAAAACCTCACTGATTCATACCAAGTACTACTTTTGCTCTTCTTTGTACCCGATCTGCAAGAAGAGAGCTCAGTGAAATAAACTGGTGGGGTGGTTCATTGCTTTTAATTATAAATTAATTCCCAGTAGAAGGGAAAAAGCTGATCCTTCTGGAGTGAATTAAACCAAACTAGGCTAAATTCCATTAAATGTACAACAGCTTTGCAATGGCAAAGAAATGACCTACTTAACAGATCTTTTCTGTTCCTAGGTTCTGCACAAGGCTTAATTAAGTTTCCCCTTGAAACGAGAGAAAGGAAGGATTATGAATGTCGTGGGTTTTAGGACTGATCTGAGTTCATGGACTCAAGGGGAATATAACTGGAATATATACAAATATAAATAGGAATGATATGGAAATACATACAGGAAGAATGTAAAATGGAAGACTTTCTTTCCCTCCCCATCCCTTCTCTGTCAGAGTGGTTTTATCGGACCCTGGTGTCAGCCACGGCTGCCGGAGGGTTCCGGTGTGTCCCGCCGCCCGGCACACCGCTGCCTCTGAAGGGCAGCGCGTTTCCAAGCACCTCCGCTCCGTTCTGGGGTGGATCTGCTTTCCTAGCACGCTCTCCTAAGACACCTTGCTGCTACAAGTACAGCCATTGCTGTCTTCTGTAAGAGATTTGTGAGATGGTGCCTTCCACTCAGTTGCACAGGCATAGGTGACTTTGAGTTTCACAAAATTCTTAGTGAGAGATTTGGATAAACTTAGACCAATTTATATAAAAAAGCTTAAGTGAGCACAAAGAGCATATTACACTCTGACCTACACACCCTGACCTTGCAGTCCAGCTTTTGGCAAACAACCCGCGTCAATTGGTTATGAAAAAAGCAAAAGCACACATTTTTTAACTGTCCTCAGCTTTTGTCCTCCAAAAGCAATAAACTGCCAATAGCAAGTTGGAGGCGGGTCACAGAGTCAGATTTTGAATGAACAAGTGCATTGCTTTCCACTTTTAATCTTCACTGTGGAAGAAATTTAGTAGTGCTGTCAAAACAAGAGCATCTTGCAGTCCTCTTAGTTCTTAGGGCAATAACCCTGTTTCATGAACTGAATCTTGGCGGGGGGGCTCTGCTTCCTTGAGCGTACAGTATGTGCACTTCCATCAGAAAATGCGTTTGTTCTTTCTTCATCAGTGAAAGTAAGGGGTTTCACCAAACAAATGTCTAGGTCTTTAGAGATCCTAGTTCTGAATTTTTGGAAATCAGTTTTCAAAAGAATATCTCAAATCAGAGCCTTTATGATATCACTGCTTTTTACTTATCTACCTTTATCATTAATGCGCACAGTGCAAAATTATGTGGGATGCTTATGTAGATAGGAAAATGCTTTCTTGGGTGGTTTTTTTTAATATTAATATTTAAAACTAGAGCTGCAAAATAAGATCTAAACCATTTAGTGATGGACTGCCTTTGTGAGCGGCATACCTTTTGGTTGCCCTGAAACACCGCACAGCTCTTCTCCTCCCAGAACGACTTTGTCCAGCTCCTTAGCTGTAGTTAGAGAAGTTCATTGGAGGAATATGTTCCTTAGAGATTCTCCTGATTTCTGAGGCTCTTCCTCTTGGTTAAAGGTGGCTCAACAAGCTGGGCAGTTACCAAGTAAAGCAGCCCGCTGCACTCACGAGACTGTTTCATTCCTGGTGCCACCTGTTGGGGTCAGGGACCAAGATCAGGTGAGTTTCAAATTCTTATTGTGGCAAATGGCTCTTTAAAACAATTTGTAAGAGAGAGGGGAAATGAACCTTAGGGGAAGGAATTACGACCCTTCAACCGCT